AATTTGTACTTCGAAATAAATTTACTTAAATGTAAAGAGAAAATTAATGAATATGGTATGTATTGTCTAAAATAATTAAAGCTTTTAAAATTTAAATTTTGTGCTTTAATCAATACATTTCAGTTGTTTTTCTCTGAATACAGTCTTTTGTATCAAATAATCGGCATATTCATTCTCGAAAATGGCATTCAGATCAATTTTACACTTGGTTATGTAGAAAAACACAGCCAATGTAACACATATATAAATTATTTATAAACTGTTGTAGCATATAAAACAGGTTTTTTCCTCAAGTTTGAATAAATATAATATAATTAAAAAATATAATTTTTGGTTGCAGTCTGTGCATATGACTTTTGCAAGGTATTATGAATGAAATCATTAAAAAGAAATAGGCCTGATTTAAGTCCAAATCATAAACAAACGGAAAGGTTTGAAGAAAAGGCACTATTAAGTAGATGATTATAATAAATAATTGGGTCTGAGAGAACATGTTACAGTCACTGACACAAAATTGTTTAATAAAAAGAGAAGTAATAATTTCTAAAAGTTAATCTCGTGCAGGAAAAGGAGAAACTTTGATGTTAAGGAAAGAAACTGTGTTCTTTTTTAAGGACAATCGGACCCCGTTACTTACTTTTTGATTGCATTTTAGGCGTAGAAGACACTCCCGGATTTGTTCCGAATTGTCAGTACTACCGTGAAGACAGACTTTATCACCGTTTCACGGCACTGTTATTAATTCTGTTGTACAGAGTGTTTCACAATATATGTCACATCTAATATATAATCTGAATATCAAGCATGATACCAAAAAAATCAAAATACCATAGACAATCATATTTATCTAAAATTATGATAATGCAAAAAATCAGGAAAATTTAAATACCATGAAGTCACTGATCATGTAATCAGTGATGTCATAATTTCAGCTGTTCTCAAAATGGAGGACAACTAGCGACAATAATTTGAATTTGTAAACTTGACTTTTATTATAAGCACGATATCCTAAATATTGTACAGGGTGTGATGAAGAAAAATATCCAGACCAGAAAGCGTTTTCTAGTTTTCATTTATAAAGGATAATTTTAATTAATTGCGACAAAATAAGTGTATCAACTGTATTTAGAAATCTTGGATTTGATTTGAGTGTGTCTGCATACAAGATTTCAGCATTGCAGTATTTAAAGCCACCTGACATTCAAGTCGGTCGAAGTTTGCAAGATTAATAGAAAAGAAAAGCGCACACATCGATAGATTTGAAATGACACATTTATTTAAATGCATCTTTAAATCAAAAACAATATCTCTTTGGGGGGTTCTAAAAAGCTAGATCTAAAACAAGAAATATGTCAAGTATCGTGTGAAACGTACAAAACGTACAAAGCAATGGTCGGAAATTCCAGAACACGAGTCTCTTAAGTTATTTAGGTCAATGGTTGGGAAAACACTTTAAGTATAACATTTTAGGAAACCGTTGCCATAGAAACTGAAATGGAGCATGTTGGATATTTCTGACATAAAATAATAATTTTGAATACTAGTATCTGCTGATCAAAATGATATATAAAATGTATATGTAGGTTGTGTTGTGATTTTTCTTTCTGCCTTTAGATGTGTGACATATATTGTGAAACACCCTGTATAATTATATTCCAATTTATTTTCAAAAATAGTACATCGAAGTTAAAGCATAAAATTTCATGTGCAAAATGTATACGAAGCACAAATTTACTGAATTTACTGAGATAATATTGATACATGTATGCATGAAATGAAAATTGTCACTCGAAAAGAATTTATTTTTAATTAATTAATTAATAAACAAAATATATAAATTTAATGAAAAGAAAATAAAAAGGATAAAAGTAAAGAATATATGCAACGAAATATGTAATGTTTTTAAGTATAGAACATTACCTTTAATTATTGTATGTGTGTTTTCGAAAACATTTAAATCCGCCACCATTACAGGTAGATCGATTATTAAATTGCAATCTATTTATAAATGTATGAAGGTCACACGGGTAGCGTATCGACGCTGGCAGTTATGAGTGTGTATTATGGAGCGTTTCCTTTGGAAGAAAAACAGAAATAGGAACAGTAACCTTACATAGTACGATAATCTATGTACATCAGAAAATCTATGATCAACAAAGAAACAATATTAGACAGCGGAAGCGATAACGTACGTATATTTCTATTATTCAATTTTCATTAAATTTCAACTTTCGTTTTGAAAAAAAAAAATTCTTCCTTGAGGTATGAACATGAATATATTGCTTAAGAACACAGTAATTGTTATATCTTTGTATGCATGAGTGTAAAACATTATCATAGCCAGTATATATTAGTCTTATTTTCATGATTGTTTCATCACTGGAAAAAAAAAATGAATTTTGACATTTGATATTTTGATTTTACGCCCTTTCCACTGTAACCACTTATATAATAACCTTTAAATAGGAAATGAAACTTGATGTAAAGAAGATCTGAAGGTAGTTCTCTTTCTGTTTGATGATAACAAAGCAAGGGACACCAGACAAATTTAGATAAAATTCATCTATTAAATTTAAAAACTGTTTCTTTTTCACAAACTCTTGATGGGGGTTCTGATCTGAATATTTCGCTTAGTATCTGTTAAAAAAGAATTGTAAACGGTCAATATGAATATAGAAATGCACTTTGCTTTCTCTCACATAAACCCTACAAACTGCCGCATTTCAAATATTTAATAAATGTTAATAGAATCCAAAAACTCTGTGAGTAAATAGAGGATATTCAATGTTTTGTAGATGAATATGGAATTTATTTCACGAGTGGGACAGGATTTTTTTTATATTTTCACGAGTGCGAAGCACGAGTGAAAATATCAGAAAATCCTGTCTCACGAGTGAAATAAATTCCATATTCATCTACAAAACATTGAATTTTCTGTTTATTACATTTTCTTTGATTTTCCATTTGACTCTGTCTTTTCGTAACAGGGTGTCATAGGCTGTGACGTCATAGTTGAGCGGTTGAGATAGCGATGATAGCTATAAGCGATTGCGAGATTGTAAAACGGATTTTTAACAACATATTTGGAGAAACTTTGGCAATTTTAGTCTCTATCAAAACGGTTTAGTTACTATCTCTATCTTATGACAGGCCAGAAATTATTTTTTTACCTACTTTGATATCCTTTCACACTGTGAGAGAATATCACTTTGGTATCCTTTCACACTGTGAGAGAATATCACTTTTATTCAATAAATAAATCACAGTATTTCACTATTGAAAATGTAATAAATTATAATATGTAATTTGGGACGTTGAGGTGAAGAAGAAATAAACTTGACCATGAGGATTGTTCTTCTCATTTGTGCAGATTATTCTTTAAGGATATGGTGATGAAAAAATATATCGCAATGGTGGAATTCATTCACGTAGTCAACAAATTAAATCTAAATTTCATGCTCCTCGTTTGTACCGGATGTTCATTGCATTTAATTGAGAAATGTGCTCCAGGGCACAACATATATTTTTTGCCAAATCCCCCCTACGCAATATTTTAAATTCACTGCATTATACATGTACAAGCTACATGTACTAATGTAACGCTTATTTTTACTCTTACTGGATGCAAATTCATATTTGAGAATAATTATTGTCACCAATCTGGGTCTGAACTCTCCTTATGTAGATGAAATATTACGTGTTTCAGATTTTCTTTCATTTATCTATCATCACTGTGGTCAGATTTTACTTACCTTACAGCTGTCTGGTGATTTTTGTTTTAATGGACTGTTATTGTAGAATCAACCAGAAGTCTCTGACGAGACTGTAGCTCTACTGGTTGTACTTATAAAGGAAGATGAAAGTAGCACTTGGACTTGAAACTTTGCAACAGCAATAAATAGAATAACGATCCTTGGTTTAGTCTCTTTTCGTGGCAAGATTTATTGCAATCAGACTAAAACTGTAGGAGGAGTATCCTTTTAAAACAATTTTACAGAAATTTCAATTTAAATATCCATGACATCATTCAGCAAAATCAAAAAACAATAACGACAATTATGCATCTCAGTGTAGTCTACTTGTATGCCAAGTTATACTGAAATCAGACCAAAAAAAATGTAGGAGGAGTAGCGGTTTGAAAGTATTTCAAGAAAATTTCTATTTTTAGTAACCATGGCAACAATGTTCATCGAAATCCAAAACTGGTAAAGAGAATTAGGTATCTTAGTGTAGACTACTTGTGTGTCAAGTTATACTGAAATCAGACCAAAACTGTAGGAGGAGTAGCATTTTGAAGGTATTTCACAGAAATTTCTATTTTTAGTAACCATGGCAACAACGTTCATTGAAATCAAAACCCGATATACAGAATTATGTATCTTAGTGTAGTCTCCTTGTGTGCCAAGTTATACTGAAATCAGATCAAAACTGTAGGAGGAGTAGTGTTTTGAAAGTATTTCCAAGAAATTTCTATTTGTAGTAACCATGGCAACACAGTTCATTGAAATCAAAAACCTATAAACAGAATAATGTATCTTATTATAGTCTACTTGTGTGTCAAGTTATACTGAAATCAGATGAAAACTTTAGGAGGAGTAGCGTTTGAAAAGTTTTTCACAGAAATTTCTATTTTTAGTAACAATGGCAACACCGTTCATTGAAATCAAAAACTGATACACAGAATTATGTATCTTAGTGTAGTCTACTTATATGTGAAGTTATTTTGATATCGAACCAAAACTGTAGGAGGAGTAGCGTTTTGAAAATTTGTATACAGACGGACAGACAGACAGCTAGACAGACAGACGGACGGACGACGGACACCTTACTATCGCATAAGCTCTTCTGGTCTCTGACCAGTAGAGCTAAATATTAACAGCGAGTTCTGTACATTCGGTTTTCCGCTCCCTGCCCTAGTGTAAAACACAAGCAGTTGTGTGTCGGACATATGGTAAAAAGATCCTTGTCTGATTTTTAATAAACATTTTTGACTGCAGATGCCAAAATGTCCTACAAAGGGTTCGGATATGTTGTGGATTCCTGTCCCCTAAGTAAAGAAAATACAACTGAGGCAGCTACGAGATTGAACTGTAGTGTTGATGAACATGGACGTAGTCAGTACGTGTGTGTTCCCAATGAAAACCTAACAGCCATTGTAGAATTCTGTTATACCAAGTCGATTGTTGGACTCTATCAGGATGGTAAAAACATAAAGTTTATAGAGCTTTTGACATAAGAATAGTCGCCCGCGTGGCGCAGTGGTTAGAGCGTTCGCTCTAGAGTCGCGGAGTAAGGAGTTGATCCTTACGTCGCGGGTTCGAATCCCACTGTGGGACGTGGAAACCGGTCCTTCGGATGAGACCGTATAAACGGAGGTCCAGTGTCGCAGTAGGTATTGGCACGAAAAAGATCCCTCATTGCTCAATACCCTGAGTGCCGAGTATAAGTGTAAAGAAGAAGGTACAGTTTTAGCTTTATTGTGCCCTAAAAATTTAATGTTTTCAAAAAGTTTTGAAACTGGCAAAAATATTAGTTGAGTATATGACTGTGATAAATCAAGAAAGAATATGGCCTGAAGGAGTACCATTCTGGAAATATGACGTCATTAATTTAATGCATTCCTCTATTTTAAACAGAAAAAAGCCTCAAAATGACCCATTTGAAGGGTTATTTTCCTTAAGAAAATGTCCACAGCCGTCGCCCACTTTAATTTTCAGATATGTTGTGTAAAATTCTTTGAAAAATCACATATCTCTAAATCTTTGTGGGCGATGCCTGTGGACAATATTATCTGAAAGAAAATTCCATTGAAAATTAGTGTCTTCTGCAACTTTTTAAGAAAATACGGGAAAATGCACAAGTTTATGACGTCACAATTAGCATTTGGAAGGTCATGTGAGAAAAATTATTTGTATGGTCTTTCTGCATGGAATTTCAATGATTCAGAAAGCATGAGTTTTAATTTTTTACATCACTTTCATTTTTAAGAAAAACACAGGGCAAGATTTGTATTGAAACCGTACCTTGTTCTTTGCAGCTCTCCTCCGGCAAATGGTGGCGTCTCCATATGAGTGAAAAATTCTCCAGAGGGACGTTAAACAATAAAAAAAGAGACACCTAAATTACTGAATATAAGTAGAAAATTAAAAGTCTGATGTAAATACGATCCTTTGGGATTAACTTTTTCGTATTGATAAATTTTATATGAACTCAAAGTCATAATTTTGCAAACTCAGGTCATTGTTTGAAAACAATTAGAGATGGATTTTTGGACCAGATCAGCTGTAAAAACTTTACAGAAGGGTGTCCAGCAGAACATTATAGAAGTACAGACCTGTACAAATGTAAGAAACTGATAAAATGGTACAAAAACAAATCAATTCAATATCAATATAATGTTTCGCTCTTAATATATCTTAACTTGATTTTCTTCTTTTTTGCATAGATCCAGCTTGCAGCCATCTTAACACAGAGGACCGATGTTTTCTTGCAGATCCCTCTTGCAATTCGTGAGTTTCTCGATAAAATTTTGTTATAATTCGATTTTGTTAAAAATCAAATGAATCCTATTTCAAATTAAAGATAATTTTATTAATACTCAAAAAATATTTCTTATCTCCCACACTGATAAGGTAAATGGCTATTTTTCTTCTTTTTAAAATTGAAATCTAATTCGGAAACTTGAGTTGTGAAAAATGAAAAAAAAAATTACTCTTGAAATATGTTCCCGGAAACTTTACAGTAGCGAACCTTCATACATTTCTAAAACTTTTCAAAACATTTATCGAACTGTAAAGTCACTGTAACATTAATACTTTTTTCGCAAATTATGTGGACTGGTAATAAAAGCAGTTTTTTAATTAAACATAATTCACTTCATTAGTGTGAGAGACACTTATATTATTGCAAAGATGTTTGAATTGTTGGTAGAAGAATAATGAATTTCATCCAAATCCTCTACAAATTCAGAATATATACCTTCATGTAAAAATTAGTTATTTGATTTTTAACTCTTATTCTTTTTTTTTTTCAATATATTTTAACACTTCAAAAACCACAATGATGGGAAAATCGACATCCTTACTGTTGATGTTGAATACGATCACTGGTTACAGTTATTCCAATACTTCTAAAGCTGCTATAGATGATGGATCCGTTAACGTAGGAGTAATCCTTGGTGTCGTCATATCTATCCTGGTACTTATGGGGATTCTGGTGATAGCCTTTTTCTCTTGGAGACGTTGGCAAAAACTAAAGCGTCACAATGTGTACAAGAATTATTCAGAAGGTACATTTGTATTTGATATACATTAACCAATGCAAGTAAAATTGAATTATAATAGCATACCAGGGGTACATGAAATGCTTACACTATGAACAAGTGCAAAAATTGCCTTCTTTGTATTTAATGTACCCATGTGTTTTTCTGTCTTTACGAAATGTGTAGAAGTTTCATAGATCATCGAAAAAAGCAATGTTTCCAGGTTAATTGAGTAATACCCAGAGTATTTTTCTACAACTTGTGTTAAGTTTCATGCAAAAGACTAAAAAACGTTTGTCCACCATATCTTGGTTACTTTCTTATGCATGTACATGTAAATAAACATTCATTTAACAAGGCCCGATCTACTTGATCTGCGCATGCGTTTTACATTGTTACTGCGATATTTCAGACTCTTTAAAGTACCCTTGATTGCTGTCAAAATGAAATACATTTAAATGACGTCAAATTTCGCTATAATATTTCGCTATTCTTGCATACCTGGTAGGTCTGCCTCGTTAAGTTTTTTTTTATTTTAATATTATACATTTTATGCTATCCTGTCCAAAATATGTGCAGAATAATACTGTACATCTCTTCGCCCGTGTAATATATAAATAGTGCACGTTTCTGAGGGTAACAGTTGAAACTGACACCCAAGGAAAACCATTGTCAACCGACGCGTCAGCGGAGGTTGGCAATGGTTTTCTAAGGGGTGTCAATTTCAACTGTTACCCTCAAAAACGTGCACTATTTATTTTATTATACTGAATGTCTTATTGATTTCGGATGTCATAAAAAAAATTCGGAGATCGTCATTAAGTCCACGCTTAGAAAGCTTTCAAACTCCCTGCTTCTATTTTTCTCAATAAGATAGCTTCGAAAAAGATTTACCAACCACTATATTGTTTGTTACTCAAAAAGTCCTTTATCATGTAAAGTTTGCACTCGCAAGGATGTTTCGTCTGTCGTTTGTTGTTTTCAAGTAAGCTACATCGGACGCAAGCTTTTATTGACGTCGTTTATTCGGCTTCTTTCAAACACACAGCCGACGTTTTGAGAATTCTACGGTGAACCGTACGCGCATGATTTGAACGCATGTGACATTTTCGTAATGTTACCCGTTGTCAAGTGTGTTGCTAACGCTGAGGGTAACATTACGGATTATTAAATGCGCCTAAACCAATCAGATTTTAGTATTTAAAATGAAAGTAAAATAAAAGCAAATAATGACCTCCATAGAATAATGACCAGGAGTCATTTTTCGCCGTCGAAAATTATCTCCAAGCCGTAAAAAATGTCATATTTGTAGAGAATGAACCCTTGCCAACTTGAAAGTTGAAAAACTCAAGAATGAAGTCGGAAACCAGACAATGGAATTTTGTGTTTCGTACATATAATGTACATTATAGTATTATTTATCACATATTATAATTTGAGCAAAAAGTCTATTGCAGTATTAATTTTGTATAATTTGCTTTGAAGTGCGAAAATTGGCATTTTCCCATATAATCCTATAGTAAATGTACCTGTATTTGGAGACAATATACAACGAATGTATTCAAATATATTCGAATATTCGATAAAATGTCCTACCAAGTAATTTTTATTGTGTTTCCTGCTTCAAGAAATCCCTCCAGGTGTAATGACTGTAACATCTTGTTTCAGAAATAAAAGTTACCGTGGAATCAACTTGTATAGATCTCACTGAACTAACATTTATCATATGGCGTCACTGACTTGTAAGACATGTGCGATAAGAAACAGAGGGGTGAATCAAACTATTTCTCTTTTTGTAAAGATAAATATGATCATAGATTTTTATTTTAAAGATTTAAGCTTAACAAGTTGTTGAAGTTGTTTCTGCGTCTGTATGGATGTGCCATACCATCTTAAATCATTTTTTTTTCGCAAAAGTTCGTTTCTTGAAGAGAAATTTTATCCAAATTGTTGGCCATTTAATAAATTGAAAAACACATAACTCTGTAGCAACCGCTAATGATAAAACGCCGCTTAATGATAGAAATATCATAAAGGGATGCAATTGCAACGCTTAATGCTATAAATTGTTGCATTATTAGTGTTTCAACGACATGGAGAAATATTTCTTCAGAACTTTTATTTTAAAACACTAAAACCAATTTTATGATTGATTATATGCATAAAATGTATGGTAATCAATTAATTCACAACAAAGCCCCGTAAAACCCTACTACAATTCAATAGGACTATGAAAAGTGCCAGTAAAAAAATATCATGTCCTTTGAGAAAGTTCTTGAATTGAAATCATTGTTGAGAGAAAAGTGTTGTCTAAATCGCAAGTTGAAAGAATTTCAAAAAAGAAAACATTACCCCCCCCCCCCTCCCCCACCACCACTACCCTGTGGCAAAGGTAAAAAATATAATTGGGACCAGTATTTCTCAAAAATTCTCAAAATAGAAGTTTTCAAGGAATGCATATGTCCCCTGCTGTAGCATCACTAAAGATAAAATAAGACTAGGGGTTGCCGGCTATTTACTTGCAATTGTCTGCAAAAAATGCGATAGAATAGCATTTATCATACTATATGACTATTAAGTGTAAATTAGTTCCTCCACCCTCAAACTAAAATGAATAATGAAATCGAAATTATTAGAAATAAATATAACATCTTACTTTATTCAAACGTGCTAAATTAGATTCGTAAGTAAAAAGATTTCAATCAATTTGTCTTTACTGCAATTGTCAGCCTACAACGATCCATTTCTTTATATCTGCTAAGTACTTAGAATTCAGATTTTGTGGTAAATGTATATCATACATTTTAAAAGTGCAATTCTTAAGCTGATCAATATGCTAATTATCGAAGCACTGCCTTTAAAAATTCAAATGACATCGGTTAAATTAGTTTACCGACTGGAGTATTTATGAAAAAAAATATGTCAAAGATTATCTTATAAAAAAACAGTGCACATGCTAAATAGCAGTGACTAGCCTAGCAAATGTAAAAGTGTGCTGTATATCGGCACTATTTTCTATTTTCAGAAATAGGTCAAAGGCCAGGTTCAAATGTCAAGGTCATGATATTTTACAAAATCAAAAGTACCAGCAAAATATCAAAATCAATACCACTTAAAAGCTCTCAAGATATCAGGTCTGATAGACAGCTAGTCAGACAGACGGACAAACGCCCTGTATATCCCTAAGTGTCGCTCTGCTGTGATAGTGACACAAAAATCCGGGGGTTTATTACAATATCTGCAAAATTAATGTAAAATAAGGAAATTAAATTTGAAGTATTAAGGACCCATTCTTCGCTGACGCAAAACTTTTTTTTAAATGACAAAATTATATAATTGTACATTCATGAAGGTGTTACTCTAAGTATTAAACTCCTTTAATTCAACATTATTTATGCCCATTTAAAAGATACGTGTGGTTTGTTTGTTTGTTTGTCTGTGATTGATGAAAAACATACTTGTATCTCAATCTATGATCACGTTCTCTACCCATTGAACTAGCCCGCACCGGAACAGTCACTCTCTGACCGTCACACGTGATTTGTTGCTTGAAATGTACCGGTAACATTAAATATAAATAAAAGTTATTACATCCACAACTATTAATGATTCAGCCCTCCTTAAAATAATTAAATAAAAGATTAATAAATATTACATTTTTGATAAATTCATCGGCTGTTTAAAAGTAAACCGTCTCACTGGTTGACTCTTGATATTTTTTTTAATGTCCACTTAAAAAATATATATATAGAGTATAAAGAGTTGTTTAAAAAATGGGAAAAAAACTACGTTGATTTGTTTTAAGATAGATAAGTCAGCAGCTAAAATGGATAAAGATTCCTCAAAGTAAGGAAACTAGTGTCGTGTTAATTTGTTTTGTCAGTTTCCTTTCCATACCAGCACAAATGATTAATCTGCATATATCTAAGATATTTATCGAAATGTAAAGTTAAACATGCTAGTTTGGTTTGTTTGTTTGACAGTTTTCTGAATGGTAATTAAATTATTTCCATTCAAATTGTATAATATTGAAGAAGACATAAAAACGATTTTTTACAAATATAATTTAAATATTTGGCAATAAAATTTTTAAAAGAAATTGAAATTTCAGAAAAATTGCTAATTTTCAAGATTGCAACAATCTTGATTGATAAAAAAAAAAACAGTGAAAATTAACTAAAAATTAATAAAATACTGTAAATCTGAGGCAGGTGTCAGGGAAAAATTAACTTGCTTAATAAGTTGAACTTCAAATAATTCGTAAACATATCGCAGCCAAGAACTCTTGAATTTTGTCTATTTAATTCTTGATTTACCTACATTCATTTTTTGGTACTTGAGACCACGGTAACTTATTCAATTTTTCTGCACAGGCGTACAATAAGGAGAAAGACATAAAGCAATATTTTTGTCTTGGGCCATACAGAAATTATTTTTTTTTTACCATAAAAGTAATTTTTTAAGGTCCGGAACCTGTAATTTTCTGAAACTTAATACTTTCAGGAATTGAACAAAAGGATGATGTGACATAACTGCTATCTGGGGCCCCTTTTTCTACGACGAATTATATTTAATCTACAACGATTTTGATAGTTTTCAAACATGAGTTAATAAATACAACGCCTTTTGAATAGTTTAAATAGTTCCGACACATTTTTAATTATAAGGATTACTGCATTATCTATGATTTTTCAGACCCTATGACAGCAAAATTCGGCCTGGTTTGTGACAATATGTTCTTTTATGAAAAGAGAATAGGCGGGTCATAGTACAATAGAGGGATATGCATGTCCGAGGAATCTACCTTATATGGCTATTGTAATTATTTCGCACATAGTCGCTTACTGAGAACAATTGTCCAATCCGATGACAGAACGACAAAACATGCTGACTTACTACATGTTTACATTTTATCACAGGCACGTGGTTTAGGTCAATTTACACAATATCTCTACTACATTTCAAACTTTTAATGGTCAGCCAAGACTAGTTATACAACGCATGGAACCTCAGTGTTTACCGTTTTTGGTCAAGAAATGCACATGAAACTTCTATTCACTGATTCTCGGGAATACGTATAGACCTAGCGAATTGCCCACCAAACGCTTTACAAACTTTGAACTATGTATACTTATAAATCAATTGTTTGTTAATGTGAGCTGGGAAATTGTAGATCCGTGTCTATTTTGTGACTCAAATGCATAAAAAATTGTTTATCGGAAAGCAGGTAAAAAAACAACATTTTTTCCAAGCATGAAATATCCTTAGTATTTTTGTGGTACTCACTAGTAATGCAACTCATTTAGCTGATTGGTCAGTTAGAAAGTATCGCCAGTGCCTCGATTTGCATATGAATTTATTCTTACGTCAGAAAAAATAGTTTCGTCGATCAAGTCATAATGGGAAAGGCCAGCTAGATTTTACAATTTTTTAAAAACAACATGTAAGCGCAGTTAGGTACATTTTTCTCCTTTTACATATAGGTAGATTTCAATAAAATACAGTGACCAGCCAAAGGAGAAAAATGTACCTACTTGCGCTCGTATATTTTAAGGGCTTCAAAGAGTGAGGCGGGGCCATAATTCAATGGGAATTGGATGTAAACATGGTACCTCTACTCAAAATAAAGACATATATCTTCCAAATTATGTTTCTTTTTTCGGTTAAAGGAGTATTTTATGAGGGTAAACATGTCAGTGATTAAGTGCACACAAAAATTAGAGTATAATTTATATATTTAATTTTTTGTCAATTTACCGGGGGCCGTATGTCACATCATCCTTTGCACGGGTCATGCAAAAATTTTATGCTTGTCAATTTTCCCTTTTTTGCTTCACGCTATCGTTTTTACTTAGATCGGAATATATAGGTTCAAATTTAAAAAAAAATCATCTTCTCTAAAAGTTTGTGACTTTGTTCCAATTTCTTAATAAAATATGATTGTAAAGTATTTCTGTTATGTTTCTTGAAGATTTTTTTCAAAGATTTTAAAATATATATAAAGTAGTTGAACAGGATCGTCAGAGAAATTTATATTCCATCAGTTGTTTCATTACTGGAAAGGGACAAAGAAATGAAGAATGAGAAAGGAAAAGGAAAGAGGGAAAAGAGAACGTGCAACCGCATCAAATTTTATGATAAACATGATGACTTCAACTTTTCTATCGTCAACTTCCCTTAATTATGTAACAATATATCCATTACTGCATATGGAGTTCATGCCTCCGAGTTGATTCGATACGCAAGGGCATGATCTACGAACAATTTCTATAACGAGGCAAACTATTGACAAAGAAGTTGATGAAACAAGATATCAACAGTCTCGTTTGAAGTCAACATTTCGCAAGTTCTATGGTCGATACAATGACCTTGTCAGCAAATACAATCTATCAATAATTCGAATGCTGACTGACGTTTTTCATACTAATTGTTAGGCCATTTTACACATTTAATTATCTACGGATTTTTCCGTTTTCCTGATCATGTCAAGGGGTGACCGGTCGATAAGCGGTGCTTACTCCTACATGGCACCTGACCCCATCTCTGATGTATTTAGAGGTCTGTGTTTGATCTCCCCCCGATTTGTATTGTATCCATGGACTTTTGAGCTTGATTTCTATTCATTATCCCCATATTAAACGCGCTTGAATGTGTATGTCTGTGAGTGGGTTATTTTGTCCTTGTGCACTAAACGGAAGTGACTTAATTTGCATCGAGTTCGATATCGACTGCTGCCTTGCTCTATTAGATATGTTCTTTTGCGAGGGATGCTCCTCTTTGCGGTATCCTTGTTTATTTTAGTACAAAACCAGAAGAGGGAAGTCTTATGTGCATATTTTTTGTTTGCCTGACCCCAGCGTGGTGACCTTAAGGCACTAGGATCGACCCTGCTCTTTATTCTGTAGCATATTATTAAACATAAATTTTTGTTTGCATGGTATGGCAAATATTAATATGAGGTTAAGAAATTTGGTTTAATAAAAACTTAGTAACTTATCCAGTTTAGACTGAACCTTGCAAGGTCATACAAAAAGTATTTAAGCTGTAAATTTCATTCTGAAAATTCTGTGGAAACACAATAAATATCGCAGGAAATTCATTCGAACTGAAATATATAAGACCCAGAGTATTCGTCATAACACATAAAAAAAAGGGGGGGGGTGCGGACAGTGATTTAATTATCTCACAAGTAAAGGTCTTTTAGAAATGAAATTTGATAGACCAAAAAGAAAAAAATACCAATTCACACAAATTTCAATGTATTTCATGCACTTCCGGACCCCGCTTTTTATTGGGGGGGGGGGGGGGGTCAAATTTTTATCATTATGGGTGCAACTGCAAAACTTAATGCTACATTAGTTTGTATCATTAGCGGTCGATCATGTCGATATTTGCTTGTTTGACTAAGCGTTGGGGCTGCACTGCATTTTTGACGCTCAATGATACAATTCTATCATTAAGTAGTGATTTAGCATTAGCGCTTGAGAATGTCAACTATTAATGCAATAATTTAAGGCATAAAGCGTTGCAATTGCAACGCTTCATGATATTTCTATCATTTAGCGGCGATTTATCATTAGCGGTTGCTACAAGGCCACCTTTACCTTCTTCTCAAGGGGTAAATGAAATATGCAGGGTATGGGGTAACTTGCGGTGTCTTAAATGTAGAAGGACTTGCACACTATGGATTCTCCTTAGATTCATAAATATTTTAAGGCTTGAATAAAAAAAAATCTGTATTCTACGATTAATTTAATTAATTCTAAATAAATTGAAATAAGTTCCACATGTAACAAGGCAAAGAACACGTTGTAGCAAAACTATTGTTCATATTAAAAGAAATGAATGCAATAAATGATATCCAAAGAAAATATTTGTCAATTTTTTTTAACCCGTCTCTCAACGATTCTGTCATCAATTGTTTTGAATCACTCTTAGGGGAATATCAGTGTTTAGCCTATGATAATATGAGAAATCGCAGTAATTATGCTCCTCAAGATTTATTTCACAGTATTATTAATACCATTTATGATGCTTACATTTACACCTTAGATGTTTTACAGTTAGAGGAATGTTAGTTTGACTCTTCACAAAATAAAATCAGAATACAAAATTGTATTGATAGTAAACAGTTTTGATTTTGTTTAGCATAAACCGACCTAGCGTAAAATATTCTTTGTACGTATTTGACTTTAGCATATCTCAAACCCAACCGAAACCCATAAAAGAGACTCATATTTCACTCTCTTTGTATTTGCTTTCCCTTACAGGGTTTTCCCGGGATTATCTGGCTATAAAGGGGTGCTCTGACTATATAGTCATCATTCCTAGAAGGGAAACTATTATATAGCCATTTTTCAGAGGCTTTAAGACTTCCATATAGCCAGGTTTCCTTGGGAAGACGGCTATGGTGTGTTCGTATGTTAAGTATAAGCATTTTAATGTCATGGTTCAAACCTTTAAATTTCAATAAATCTATACTTATTTTGATACTTTTCACTTTGTAGTCTGGATAGGCGATTACAGCGTGTGGAAGACAGAGATATCAGGTGAGCATTCATAAACAGTGAGAACATAAAGAGGGTGTTGCAGAAACTCGCGATTATTCATCTAGAAGGACATTTATTTAAACTGTGTCCCATAATCACATTGTTTAATATTTTTTATTCAATTTTAATTTTTTTAATAATATGCCTCTTTGAAACAAAAATCGGAAATGGCAGTTTTGAGGAAAACTCCTGCCTCTTTATGCGTATATCAAATTTATTCTGTTTCAAGGAGGCAATTTTTCAGAACAATGGGGATTCCCTATTTAAAAACCGGAAAATCTGACATGCATTGTTGTGTGCCTAATTTACACCTCATTTGATTGTATAATATACATCGCTGTATCTGAAAAATCCAACATTGTTTCTGTTACTTAAAATTCTTCTTTTTTATCTGCGACATTTTAGGGAAAATAACAAAAGAACTGCAACACCCACTTTTGAAACCGATTAATTTCTTTGCAATGGTCATAAAACGTGCATGGCTTCAAACCTGTAATTTTCCATCCTTCAGATATATCAAACGCCGATAATTTATATGAGTTTAGTGTTAAAATCCTTAAGTAACAACACATTACGATATCGTTTATCAATTAGAATTAAAAAAAAATCTCACAAAAGATACTGATTAAACGTCAAAGCTAAGTTAGCACTCTTTAGCTGAAAAACTCAAAAACTGACAATATATATGCACGGCTCTAAATGGAAAAGGGGGGGCGGGTCCGGACCCCCTGGTGATTCTCCATCAGAGTTAAAAGGTCCTGTGTAAAAGTAACAAAGAAATTACCTTGACACCCTTGCCGGTAAACACGGACCCCTCTTTAAATGCATGGTTAGAATAGCCATGTATCTGTGGAAGATACTGAGGAAATTGTCTTCTAGTGACACCCCCCCCCCCCCTTCCGCCTCTCACCCTCGACATAGTATTTTTTTCATGTTTGAGGAATTTAATCGATTATACATGTATTTACTTTTTTGGAAGGGGTTTAGTTGAGGGGAGGGAGGTGTCAAAAAATGAACGAAAGTGATATCTGTTAGAGAGTTGACGTGGACCCACTTTGAAAAAAAAAATCTGCACCTGTTAGATAGGGCTTATAAACCCTGCATATGTGTTACAATCTGATGATGATCACGGGCGATGATGTAAGATTTTCATATTTTGTCAGATGGGATGCTATAGAGATGTCAAATAATCAAAATTTCATTTTTATTATTTTGAAATAATATCAAAAACCCATATTTGAATCGGTATACAGATGTCAGTGTATGGAGTCTCGTAATAGATAAACGTGCGAAGAACTGGTCACATATTATGTGGTATCAACTTATTATTCTTAAAAGCTTATTTCTTTATTTTAATATATCGACAGACAACTTTTATTTTTTTCCAAATTGAGAAGGTATAGATGGAACAAATTATGTCGGTGTTAAAATGAACCATATATATATATATATATATATATATATATATATATATATATATATATATATATATATATATATATATATATATATATATATATATATATATGATCTTCTTTCTAAAGTACATGTACTGGTAACAGTTAAATCTGATCTAATTATCAAAGTAGTACTACGTATACTTTCTGAACAAAGGAAGAAAATTATTTCAGACGACTCATATTGAACTAACAATACTATTAGAGCACATGTACAACACAAGGTAAATTAGAAAAAAAAGATACCAAAAATAAAATCTTTACAAATATGAAGATTATTTTTTTGTATGAAAAACAAACGATTATTAATAATCTATTACATTTTGTAGACCAGTTCTTCACACTGACTGATAACGAGGTGTCCATGTTATATTGTTTTCTGTGTTCTGACTCCGGTCCTCCAGACTTCACTCACACAGAGTGGCTGGACATGCTTAATAAGATACGACAGGAAGTGTACGATAAAGAGAATCCTGTAACAAGTGAGGAAGCACAGCAGACTCTGGACAGACTGAAGTCACTTGATTTCCTTTGGGGAGATCAGGACAAGATAACGAAGAACACAAAAGATGAGACAATGTATAGGATAGCATCAATAGACGGTGATATACTATTCTGGTACAGTAGTTATGACACAGCCAGTGTGTACCTGAGATCAAGGAGATACAACAGAAAACCTGGAGAGAAGTGTGTCTGTGGTGCTGGTAACTATGATTCCTTACTGAGTACTGCTTACTCTGATACCTTACTGATTACTGCTTACTCTGATTACTTCCTGATACAGCGTCTACAGATGAACATACTGACTCACGTCACCATGGAGGACACGAGTATATATGATTGGATATACCAGATATGTAAGTGTAACATAAAACTGTTAACCATCCATATATATTTAACAGGATAATTCTTCATCATAAGTATTAGTTATAAATAGAATATTCAACACGTAAGAAATTGAATCTATAAAAACATTTAAAGCATCAGCTAGTTAAAACACGGGCATTAAATATGTTTACGTAATAAAGCAATAAACGGGGCTATGCCCCAGTAAACAAAGAACATACATTTTATGTACATGTATATATACTTTGATATTAACGCATATTTTATATTAGAGCATTATTGTCACATCATTTACGTTCTAAATCGTTTATCTACATGCTTATGTATTTTAATTCAAATCAGAACAATTACTAGTTTATCACTCTCATTCTATAACAGTGATGGTCCCAATGGATGTTCTAAAAGGAAATACGAATAAAAGAAAGAAGTATTTAAAAAAATTGAAACAGAGAGGAGAGAGTGTAAGTTACAGAGGAAGATCACAGGACAGTGTACAACACGTGACGTGGCTCTGGAGATACGGGTACATGGCAAGACCTGACATCGTGAGATCCTGTATAGGCCTCCATCAACACTGGGATATTTACATCGTCGACAACAGAGCTTACAGAAAACCAAGTATGTGGGCGAATTATGATCTGGTAACTTCAAAGTCGTACGATACTATACTATACTATAGGAATTATATATTACAGATAGATTACAGGTTAACTATAGTGGTAAGATTATGTGGGAAATAATTTACAACAAAGCTTACAGAAAAACCAAGATTTTACAGTCAAACGCATTTAAAAAAAATTATACTTCGTAGTAAAATAATGCGAATTTAATACATTGTATATTCATGATAATGTGTTTGTACAAAGTGCTCATCACAATTAATAAATCCTTTCAGAGTAGAGACTCTACTATTAATGTGACAAAGAAAACAAATACATTTCTCCTCTATAGATAGTGTCCTAAAAAATATTCAACAAATGAAATTCGCAAGTTTGAGGGTGGTATATAGACTGTGCCTGTTAATAAATTTCCCCAGATATTACGGATTGGTGTATTCCCGTTCCGCAAACGTAATAATTAGGTATAGACCAGAAGGAGTGAGTTTTCTTGTAATAACGATTATATTCTGCCTTCTATCTTGATTTTCCCTTTTTTCACAAATGTATTATTAAAAAATGTACAGAAAATTAATGAATATTCATATCTCAAATCAGCCTTTTTTTTAGGTCTCCTGAGTCATTCATGTGTCCTATTGCTATCCGTTTTTATCGTTCGTTGGCCGTTAACTTTTGAACATTTTTAGCTTCTTCTCAGAAACCGTTGAACCAATTTCAATCACTTTTGGCGTATAGCATATATGGGTGAAGGGGAACAAATATTGTGTATTTAATAATCCCTATGCCCTCCTTCGGGGCCTGAGTGGTCGGTCTAAAACGATCAAAATTAATGCAATCTTTAAAAATCTTCCTCTTTACTCCAAGACATCAAGTGGTCAAGCTATTGGCATGATTGTAATAAGCATTAAGCTCTCTTCCAAAATTGTGAAATTCGTGGCCCCATTGTCAGGGGTTCTTGTGCAAGGGCGGCGCTATATAGATCATTAAATGAAATCATAGGCGCTTGGGTCAAGGATAATGTATATTTTCTATATAATGTATTGTCGAGGAAATTCGAACTATATTCGTAATATTTTTTTAAGGGCACAGTGGTAATTTTTAATTTTTGTCAATCTTTCTGCTTGATATACACTACACTGTCATAGAAATTTGATATTATGCACGTTTTAAGAGTTACATATCCCAACTGTATACTAAAAAGAAACAAGGCTTGCAACTGCATTCGCCCCTTTTCGTTCCCCCGACAGGAATTTTTCCTTTCAAAAGTTATATGCAACGCTTAACAGCTGAACTGAGAACCCTCTTCTCTCCAGATAATTCTTATATAATGATAAAAATCCTCCAATGACAACTTTTCATCCATTTTGAATTTTTTAATAATTATTTTCTTTCAAATTTCGCTCGTTTAATTCTCTTATCACTGAGGAATACTAACATCCAAAACCCAAAACGGGCGATCATAAAATTATTTGACAGTTCTTGAAAGAAGCAAGGGTTAGAGTATATACCAAATTGAAAATATCTAAAACTTCCTTTCTAATCACTGACTGTATTAGTTTCTTATTTGCATCCTTAATCAGAGGAGTTTATAGTTTTAATTTATGGGCGGAAGGGGGGGGGGGGGGGTCGAAGGTTATGTAAGTCCAAATCTTTTCAATTGTATTTTTAAGTGAATTACGATATCAATCTTTATATCAAGAATAAATTAAACATTGAGGCAATTGAATAAAATTTAGACTTAACATTGAAAAATAAAGTGCAAGCATTTTTTTCTTACACGGGCATGCAAATTGAAGAAAATAGCAATTCTGATGTGCGTATCAAAGGAATTTTCGACTAAGATGAAAATATGTTTTGGCAAAAAAAAAAAAAAAAAAAAAAAAAAAAAAAAACGTGAATCTTAAAAAAAACTTTAATTTTAGAAAACACTCTTTTCTCTATAATATTGGTTTAGCACGATGTAAGAAACAGCTGAAATTGTTGGTTTTAATCGTAAGTTCTTTTGTGAAACAGACCCTAAGTCAATAAACGCAAAGATGTCAAAAAGCAAATTGAAAAAAATCGTTTGTACACAACCTGGATAGAAGTTTCAGTCACGGTGAAATCTAACAAGAATGGAAATAAAAATGCATTGCTATATTAATATGTACCGTGAATTTTATATAACAAACAAGAAGTCTCGGTTTAGATGGTGGGGCAGCCAAAAAATGATTAACAAGCAAACAAAATAAAACATTTTGAAAACAAAACTGCGTGAAAAACTCTGACAAGCAAAAAATAAAAAAAATGGAAAGCTGTCTCAAGATTAAAAAAAATGCATTTCGTGAGAACGGTGTGGGTGCATTATCTCTCCTTGACAGTAAAAAAAAATAATAAGGATATACTCAGTAATAAATTTGGCAGCAAAATGTATCAGCGTGCGTGTGTGTAAGAGGGATGAGGAGGGGCGCTTATCCGGCGTTTCAATGAAATTTCTATACTAAGTTAGGGTATGGTGTATGGTGATAGTGATAAATGGGGAACAGTTTAGAACCTAATTCCTGAACTGTTAATGAATACTAGACTAGATATTCCGTTTATCCTGATCATACTATTTTTATTGCTTTTAGGCAACAAAGCTACATCCATCAGTTTATATATACTCTATGGATCCTCTAAATTGTTCCATAATACTCAGGTGACCGTTCTTGTTCTTTTTTCATTAACAGATTAAAGATGGAATAACTAAATGACTATTTTGATAATTTTATGATCAATATTCTAGTTTTTCTTCCCAAGCAAATAGTTCTAAGATGAGGAAACAGATAATATATAGAGAATATTACCTACTAAAATTCATATCATATGTCATATCAGCCTGAATGGCCCCATATCAGCGCGAGGGCCGAAGGACCGAGGGCTGATATGACATATGATATTGATTTCAGTATATAGTATTCTATTTATCATATATTTAAAATACTTAATATGCGAGTTCATATAAAATCATTGAAGAATGTTTCGTGCATGTTGATGACCTTTTTCTTTAAAATAAAATAAAGCAAATTTAAGCCCTTTGAAAACAAATTAAATCCACAGATGTTGGTAAAGAATTATTTTACATGTATATTTAAATAAAATCAAGTTAATTAACTTTTAAACTTTAAACAAACGTTACTTCCGGTTTGATATGGATTTTTGCCCGCCGGCCCGATACGTGATATGGATTTTCGGACCGGTCCTTGATATGGGGTATTGTGACATTACCCATATCGCACAGTGCAGAATCGGCGTATTTACTTCTAAGTATATGATAAAGTAAAATACACGTAATAAGATGTATGTATTAATTGCAAATGATTTTATTTCCAACTCTATACCTAGGTTCACCTTTCCGTTCATAAACTGAGACTATAGGAATTAGGAAATTATCTTACATAGACAAATTCTCATTTTAAACACGGTTTTTCCCCATATCTGAATTTCTAATGTACGTGTGCAAATCAGGCACAACCAACATTACCCCAGGGCTAAGGAAGAGTGAATTAACTGGCGAAATCAAAACAAAAGAAATCGAGTTCAAATTTAAGCAATAAAAATATGTGTAAATTTTATTTATTTTTATTGAATAATTTAAAGCCGTACGGTCTATCAGTAAATTGACAATAAACATATGTAATTATGAACACATGGAGAGTCTGCGGGTGTGGAACTCCCGGACACCAAGATTAACAGAATGAAGGTTTATATTCAAACACTCCATAATTAACATGCAAAATTTACTATTTTACCTAAAAAAGAAATGAAATCAAATTTCCAGAATCAGTACGCAACTATTTATTAGAGATAAAAGACATTGGGGGGGGGGGGGGATAAGCCAGCCATATGCCTACAGAAAGACCGATAAAAGATCGATTAATTTATTTCTAATAAATTCCACTCGTTCTTAAATTTAGGTAATATAACCATTTGCATACAAGATTTACAATACATGTACTTGAAAACAGTAACTGCGAAATTGATTATGATTTACAGATCAAGATGGCAACACACTCAATTTTCACAAAAACTGACATAAATTGGGTGCTATAACTGCATAATTTAAAAGAGTGGATCATCACTCCATTATGATAGTTTTCTTTTTCTTGAGAACAAATATGACAAAAAAGTTTCTTTTTTACACATGTAAAAATATGGTACGAAGACTCACTCTACAAAAGAGATTAAGTTTTCTTACTTTAATTTTCTCCGTGGTCTTAAAAAAAAAATCCAAGTCCAAATACGCTTGCTAAATACGGAGAACTGTTTGCTATTCAGATAATAAATAGCCATTTATATGTGACTGCGTGGTGTATTGGTCAGTGAGAAACTGTTTAAACGGACTTTGAGGAAAGTGTTTAAATCAAGATGTGATGTAATGATTTTTCGGGGGGGGGGGGGGATTAACCATCTTAACTCATACCCCATTGACAGGTACATTGTATACTAGAACTAAAAAAATCTCTAAACATTTTGTGAATTATCAGTACTTTCACAATACGGTTGCTTTCATTTTTTTGTTTTCTTTTTTTTTTCTTGGAGGGGGGGGGGGGGGGGGAATATCAAGCAAATACATGTCAGAATAGTTTTAAGTGTACCTACGTTCTTATCTTGCATATTTTTCCTCCCACAAAGAAATAATCAAATCATCACTTCCGCTGTCAACACTATAGTTTTTAGTATTTTACAAACTGAATTTAATGTTGCGATGTGGCAACGCACTTTAAAATAATTACGCACTTACATGTATAGTGCGTTAAAACTGAGGACAAAATCAAAACACTTTGAATTCTTTTTCAAAGTGCGTTACGAGTGTACATCAACATTTTTTTTTTACCATGGAGACACTTGACGCGCTTTGAAAAAATATTCATAAAACAAAAATTCTGGACTAGGCATCATTATTTTGTTAAATTTCTTCCGAAAACTGATAAAGTAACCCATCCTCTTCAAAAACAAGGAGAAGACAGGTAGAAAGACTCT